CGGGGCGGGGCGGGGCGCGCTGAGGAAACGATCGATTCCAATAAAGTGCCGCAAAGTGCATTACCACCATACAGTCACAACAGTCGGTGCGACGGCGGCGATTACCCGCGCGGGAATGTTCCGCTCGTTTCATCCCCCTGTATTGGCCGCGCGGTATGCCCTCCGGTGCGGCTGTGCGGTGGTGCCCCCCTCCCCCATACTTACGGTGCTACTGGTCGTGTTGCAGGCTCCCCGCGGCACCAGGCGGCGCCCCAGCGCGCCCCCGCGGCCTCCACCGCCGCCGCCGGGACCCCCGACGACGTGGTGCCCCTGGCCACCGACAAGGACCGCGGCCGCTTCCTCGCCACGCTGCTCATGCTGGAGAGCCTCCACGACAAGCCCTACCCCGTGCACGGCGTGGCCGACGCCAAGCTCAAGAAGGAGATCCTGGCCGACGAGGATCTGATGCAGGAGGTCCTCAAGCTGTACGAGACCACGCAGGTGAGTTGTGCTCTGCTTTTAGCTCTGCTCCGGGTCGTGTCCGCCTTCTGTTGTCCAGCAGATACTCAGACGGTCCGCGGATCAGGCGACTTTGTCGCCAACCTGCTGGTCACCCCGGATTTACAGTGTACCTCGTGACTTCGTGACTTGACCATGACGACCAGCAGCTCATGTCCGTGCATTATGTTTCCAGGAAACCAAGGGGCAGCACTTCATTAAGATCCCCCCCAGGCTGATGAAGAAGATGAAGCAGAAGATGGCGGAACTGCTCAGCGAGTGAACGAGGGGCACTTGAATTGTTTTGATTATTGTGTCAGATTGTGTGCGTCATTATTGCGTCTATTTGTTCATTCAGTATTTATTTCCCTAGTGCCATCATTGTAAATAAGTCATATCATACCCTCCTTCAATGCCATTTTAAATCAATTGTCAAAAGGGCGTTTTAAATTATTTGAAATAAGAGCGGAAATACAGAAGAAAAAATTGCTGGCAAGAGTAAAACTACCTGATTATCTGTGATCTGTCATGCTTCATGTGTGTCCTGAAATAAAGAATGCCTGCGTAATTACTGAAGTCGAATGACTCGTTACCTACCACGTCAGAAGCAACAATTACTGTATGCAAATGACAGCTCATGCTCACAGGGTTTGGGTCACGTTGCACTTAAGTTAATATTAACGTGTTGATATGCGTCTTGATATGCGACTTTTATATAAGTGTGCATGTAAGTTTTTGCGTGTTTGAAGGTAAGTTTCGGTAAAGCCACGAGCCATGATTCTGTTTGGACGATTGGTGATGCTGGATGTTCTACACGACATACCGGGTGGCTGATTAACCCCGCCCACTTTTGTAGTTAGACTGTACCGCACGCACAAGTACGGGCGGGTTGCCTACTCGCCCGGCCCGTTAGGCGCCGTGGACAGGGGCGATAGGCAAGCCCGCCCGCAGTCCTGCGTGCGGTACAGTCTAACTACAGAAGTGCGCGGGGTTAATCAGCCACCTGGTACAGGGCAGAGACCCCTTTATTTTGCTCCGCATGCAGGCGCGTGGGCGGGCTTGCCTGCCGTAGCTCATGCAACCTGGCTGCACGGGCACGCCTGCATCCGTTACAGTATAAGCAAAATAAAGGAAGGGGTCTGTGGACCACCCTGTATCTTAGAAAAAGGGCAAGAGCGATGCTGGATTTTGCGTACGGTGCGTTTTCTCGTAAAAACGCCCATGTAAATGCCGTATTATAGTCATACCACAAATTGTTATGCAAAATGCACCTTTTCATCTATAAACACATTGAGTCCCACGTGGCCACACGTATGGCCACAACAATCTTTTGTGTTTGTACCCCCCTGGGACTCAACGAGTTAAGCCTTGGTCTTACGACCAAATAATGTATGAAGCCTCTCTTCTGATCAGCTTGTTAATCCTCAAAACCTAAGCCGAGAACTAGCTACCGCGTGGCCACCAAACAAGACGAAGAACGGCAGTGCGTGCTATTCAAAACTTCGCGCGAAAGCCGGCGCTGCGCCCGAGTGGTGGGCGGTGGGTGGGCGGCGGAAGTATAGGCCGAAAAGAACAAACGAGCAGAAGGAGAGGGAAGTTGTTGTGATTATTGAAACCAAACATTCCACGAATGACGTGTTGGCGCCGAATGCCGATAAGAGAGACTACATTTCGAAACTTGAGATTGATCGACGACCTTGATTTAGACCGCTATGGTTATTTGACTTCTTGTTCGAAGCAACGAATCCGTTGAAACATGGTGCCACCCAGTGAACGAACTTATCTGGGGTTAGACCTCAGTACACAACAGGTACTTTTTGTAAAAAAAAATCATTGAAAATTTTTACTACTGATTGTTTGATTTACAATTTAACAATTTAATGGTGAAGCATCTTGACATCTGATAGATGGAGTGCTTACCTTTAGGTTATTTGTGTGTTCCCATTCTGCTGTCCCGCCAAGGATTGTTTAATCAATACCATTGTCAGCAGGATATTTTTATGTTTGAAAAAGAAGCATTTATTAATCATTATTTCCTTTTTTTTCAGCTCAAAGCAGTTGTTGTTAGTGATGATCTACAAATTCTCCATGAGACGCAGGTGCAGTTCGATAATGATTTACCAGAATTTAGGTATGCCCTATTTGAGTCTTTATTCTATTGAAAATGTGAAGTTATCTTTACAATCATCATTTGCAACAATGGTTCCTCTTCCTTTGTGTTTTAAACCTCAGAACTCACAGTGGAGTTTGCCGAGGAGGTGACAATAAAACTGTCACAGCACCTACGCTCATGTGGGTAAAAGCTCTAGATATGTTGTTGGACAAATTACGTGTTTGTGGAGTAGATTTCAGCAAAGTTGTAGCTTTATCAGGAACAGCTCAGGTATGAATACAGAAATTGTGCAGCAATATTTTCTGTAGTTTTTAGCCTCTTGTATATCTTACATTTCTGACAAGAAGGGTGCAAAACATCAGCATATTTTATATTTACCGTAATTAAACTAAACACAATTTACTCAGTCGAAAACTACTTTTACAGCAACATGGATCTGTGTGGTGGGCTACGGGAGCTGGTAAGGCTTTGAAAAACCTCAGCTCTGAGTCTTTCCTCCATCAGCAACTTGCAGGATATTTCTCTATTAATGACTCACCTGTTTGGATGGACTCAAGTACAACTAAACAATGCCAGCAGCTAGAGGCAGCTGTTGGAGGGCCAGAAGTAATATAATTTTCTGTTTGACAGAAACTTATCAATCTATTCATTTCATTGAACACATTAATAATTTTGAATAACTCTCAGCAACTGGCTGCATTGACCGGCTCAAGAGGATATGAGCGGTTTACTGGATCCCAAATTGCTAAAATTGCTCAAAACAAGTCAGTTGCATACAATAACACTGAAGTAAGTGTTTGGATTAAATTTGCTAATGTGTTTTGTTATGTTTTGTGTTTAATTAAAATCAAAAATGTTCTTCTCAGAGAATTTCTTTAGTGAGCAGTTTCCTGTGTTCACTTTTTTTGGGAGACTATGCTCCAATTGACTGGTCTGATGGTTCAGGTATGAACCTATTTGACATTCATAAGAAGGATTGGTGCGATACACTTCTAGAAGTGAGTTTTTCTCTGTACTGTAGTGACTGATAGTACTTGAGCAATCTCTCAGTGTTTTTATGGAGACAACTTATTTGGTTTAGGCCTGTGCACCAAATTTAAGAACAAAGTTGGGTGAACCTGTTCCCTCCTATACCAATCTTGGATCAATATCACCTTACTTTGTGGAGAGGTTTGGCTTTGAGTCAACCTGCCGAGTCATTGCATGTACTGGAGACAATCCGGCATCCTTGGCAGGTAGTTATTAACAGCTTTTCATTATCTTCTTTATTTCTTCTTGGTCTAAGAGTGTTTTAATTCAAGTTTCTCTTTGCCAGGTATGCAGTTGCAACCCGGTGATATGGCTGTTAGCTTGGGAACCAGTGACACTATTTTTCTCTGGCTTGAAGAACCTCATACTCTTTTAGAAGGCCATGTACTATGTAATCCAGTTGACAAGAATGCTTTTATGACTTTGTTGTGGTAGGATATATTTTATCACAATCGCTTACATTGTAGTGTTCTTTTTTACTTAAACAAATTGGAACTCATTCTTTACCTTTTTTGTTTTTCTCTCTAGCTTTAAAAATGGGTCTCTTACCCGTGAAAGACTTAGAAACAATTGTGCAGATGAGAGTTGGCAGCTATTTAATGAACTGTTGGAAAGTACTCCTCGAGGAAACTTTGGAAACATTGGTAAAACAAGTCTATTTGTAAAAATGGAATTTTTTCATGATAGTCCATTTTGATCAGTTTTATTTAAACAATTTTGTTATATTATTTGTTAAGGTTTGTATTATGATGAACAAGAAATTCTGCCCTTTGTGATTGGAGATCATCGGTTCAACAAGGCTAATGAAAAATTATCCAGATTCGCTTCCAAAGAGGTTGAAGTACGAGCCTTAGTTGAAGGTCAATCTATTGCCAAAAGAGCTCATGTGGAGGAAGCTGGATTTATTTTAAGTAATCATCGTTCCCTTCTTTTGTCTCAGAAAATACTGTTCAGTTTTAATTTTTTAATATTTTTTTCATTTTTATTGTTTTTAGAATCAACATCTCGTATTTTAGTAACTGGAGGTGCTTCAGCGAACAAATGCCTTTTGCAAGTTCTCTCTGATGTCTTCAACACTCCTGTTTATCGCCTGGTGTGTATATAATTCATCTTCTTGTCTGTGTGCTGTAAGGACAAGGAAAATATCACTATTCATTTATCTTTTCTGCTCTTTTGTTTAATGTAGGAAATTGCCAATACTGCAATGCTTGGAGCAGCTTATCAGGCCAAACATGGCCTTCTTGGTGGGGAAGCCACATTTTCCGAATTGACAGCTTCTCTTCCACCACCAACACTAGTGTGCTCACCTTACAAAGATGCATCTCAGATTTATGATCCAATGGTCACAAGATATCGTAAAATTATTGAAGAGATAGTTAAAGAGTAGATAAGCATGACTTGCATATTTTATGTTACTTGACACTCCAATGATTTTTTTACCATTCCATTACCCAAAGCTTCTCTATTTTTTCTAATCTCATTAATAAACCTTTGGATATGTATGTTGTTTTTTTTGGTTTTTTTAGTAATGATTCTAATTTATTGGCTTGTAGCATAGATTTTGTTGTTGTTGTTAAAGTGATATATTTCTGTTAATTTTGCTATCTACAGAGCTATCAAAATGTTATGCATCACATTTGATGTACTGTAAAATAAGAACCTGTAATCATGCATTTGTACTTACTGAATAGACTTAATTAAGACTGGGCACAGCTTTGCAACAGTACTTCCTTTCATATTTTCTGTATGTCCTGAGAACTTATTGCTTTGTATTTTTCTTCCACCACATGTCAATTGAATTTGGGTAAACATATTAATTGTATTTCTGTCATGCTAGATGCCAAACATAGGATTCTAGATCAAGATTATTTACCATTATAAATTTGTAATGGATCAAGCTTCCTTTTATTGAGGAGGGGAATGAATTGGAAATGGTATTGGCATTTACAACGTTAAACTCTTAAAGATTTTTACTTCATTAGTCCAAAATTAATATTCTATGACTAATTTGCTTCTTGTGCCTTCTGTGTTCCAAAATTCTCTGATGTTTATCTGATCAAGTTTATGATACATTCCATACTTATATGTCTGTTCAACATTGTTCTGTGATTGATTGTTTTCTAAATCTGTGATCATGTAAATCTGTGACCAGTGTTATGATAATTTAAATAACTCTGTGGCTTTCTACCTTAATACTCAGATATTTTACTTAATTGTATCCATTTTTTAGGGGTAGGATTATCTACTACCTCTTTTTGTTATGCTTTTGTTGTCTTTGAGGCGTGTCTGTTTCCGCCTTATTTAAGTTTTTAAGTACAGTTTTTCACAGTCCTTGTAAGTTTGTTGTGTACTTGGACCGTTCTCATTCATGATTGCTGTCAGTTAGCTAATTATTTCCAAGAACATTCCAAATAAGTTAAGTGAATAGCTCCACCATGTCATTTTGTTCTGCAAGAGTTAGGATGTTAGCCTTAAATGCAATATCATCTTGTACTTGTCACCATTCTATAAATGTATGCATAGTTCTACAATCAAAATTGTCTAGCTCACTGGTAATCAAAATACTTTTGTTGTCTATTTTAGCCATTCCCAAGAAGCTGCCATTGTTTCAAAGTTCTATTTTATCTCAGTATTTGTTTGTTTGAATATTGTTGAAGATTAGATTGGGTACTCAAATGTAGGAGAATTTAAATTCCTTACGACTCTGAAATTCTGTGTTATAAACATACTCATCCTTTGGAAGAGTGTTTATTGTCCTCATGTGCCTGTAATCAAGTACTTCTTTATCTTTCTATCAAAAGGCTAACGAGAATGTGAGATAAGAGGAGGTAACTTTATCTTACAAATGAATTTGTACCGTTGTAACAAAATTTATGGCTGATCATTAATT